CCGCGGGGACCCCACACGCATCCCCCACCGCCCCGCAGCCACCGGGGACCCCTTCCCGTCCGTGTGCGGGGCACTGCCTACGCGGGACATGTCCCGCCACCAAAACCCACGGGGTGAAGAACAGTCGAGCCCCGACGGCTGGGACACGCCGTCCAGTTGTAGCGGAGGGGAGCGGGGTGCCCAGCGCCCCCGGACCCCTCCGGACCCTCGCAGCAGGGCGGGGTGGCTGCAAGGTCCCAGCTCGGGTCCCCCCGGTGCTCCAGGGACGTTCGACGGGGAGGGAGCTGCCAGCCAGCTGGGATGTGTGGGGGGATAATCCGGGCTTGGGGGACTCGTTCCTGGGAGCAGGGGAATGCGGTGAGATCCTACCCGGGAGGGAGGTGCCGGTGAGGGGCTGGGGTTGGCTGGGAGATGATGGATCCCCGGGAGCCAGAGCCATACATCGAAGGAAAACCGTCCAGGGGTTCTGGGGATCGGCCAAGGGCTGGCCAGGGTGCAGCCTGGAGCCTGCTGGGGAGCGCGGCAGCACTGGTCATCAGGTGGCCAGAGAGTCAGTGCTGTGGTGCTTGGGCCACGTAGCTTGCCTGTCTGGCAAGGAGACAGGCCAGGGGCCAGGGAGTGCTCTGAGTGGGAAAAGGGGAGGTCTGGTTTAGGGGAGCGAGGGGGCCAAAGCCAGACCAGCAGGGGCCCTTTTGCCTCTGCATTGCGTACTCTGCCCCAGCTGTACTCTGCGCATTGCACTGTGGTGAGAAGGATCTTCTTGGATCCCTGGAGGTTTCCTCGGGGAGCTGCTGGGCGCTGCAGCACAGCACCCTGCGGCAGGCAGGATTGAGCCTCGCCACCCCACCCAGCGGCACCCCCCAACACTGCCCTGCCCTGCTTGCATGGGGTGGGGCACCTCGTGGGTGGGGGATAGCAGGAGCCCAGGGTGGGGGCTGCAGGGACAGAGAAGAGGGAAGAGCTGTGGCTGTACCCTAGAGAGGAGAGATCCCCCACCTCGGTCCCAGGATAGGGGATTTGGAAATACCTTGGAAAGACCTGGGCTCGGCTGCCTGCATCAGGATGTCTGAGGGGGGTTTGGTGAATGGGGGTGGATGGGGAAAGGCTGTTCCCTGCCTCTTCCAGAGCAAAAACTGGGGAGCACCAATTGAAATAGGTGGGTGTGAAAAAAATCAGGACAAGGTGGTTCTTTGTGGGAAACACAGCGGAGCCATGGGACTGCCTGCTGCAGCGGTCGTGGGTGCTAAACCTCTATACGGGATCCAAGCACCCTTAGACAAAATAGTGGCAGAAAAGCACAAAGAGGAGGATGAAATCCAAAGATGCTGCTTCTGCCGAGGGAAGAGCCTGTGCTGCAACGGCCAGGGTCAGGAGCAGGGATGTGCAGGGGATGCTATTTGGGAAAGGGGGGGGGTGGGGGTGTCTGGGTAAGTGCAGGGCGGCTCTGCAGGGTGGCTGGGTCCCAGGGGTGGGGCTGCTCGTCACCCTGAGGTCCAGGGACCTTCTCCTCTCGTGACCTCTGGCCAGACTCAGTGGAGCCTGTCCGTGTGCCTCATCATGGGCATGTCCAGGTGTGCCAGGCTCCTATGTGTGCGCAGCCTGGCACAGGGGCATCCTGGGCACCCGCAAAGGGTTCTTCTCAGTGGCAGCTGTAGGTGCAATGGCCGTGGCTCAGAGAGGACAGTTTTCCTGTGGAAGTAAGGAACACTGGTGCCTGATTCAAAGCCACAGCGGGTCCTGTACTGGTCTCTCTTCCCCCTATACCTACCTGCGCCTGCCAGGGGTGCAGGTCAGAGTAGTGTTGCACCCCGACCTCAGCTCTCCATGGAGACATCTTGCGGGGCACAGTGCCCCTAGAGATGGGTAAGGGCTGTGCTGTGACACCAATTCAGTTTCAAGCAGAGGTGGCAGTGGGGAATATTGGTGCTGGGATGGATCTGGTACTGCCAAGATACCTCCTTCTTGGGGCTGCAGATGAAATAACTAGGCCAGATACTCACAGTAAACCAAATAAGCAGGTGTCCATCTTCAGCGGGTTGTGAATGAGGGCAGGAGGGATGTGGGGGCCCTGAATCCAAACCCACTGCAGCCTGCATTGACCTCTGAGGACTCCTACTCCTGTCCAGAGGTGTAGAGGCATCCTCTCCTCCTCTTGTTTGCGGTGCAGGATGGGGATAAGGATACTGCAAAGGAGATAAGACCTCGTTACCATCTTCTGTGTCTCTAGAGCAAAGATGCAATGAGGTGCATCTGAAACCTGGGTCCAGGAGGGGGCAACATAGCAGAGGGTTGAGGAGACCAGGGCACATCCTGCCCCACTCCTTGGGTCCTGAGAGAGATCTTTAACCTCTGCGGGGCTTGGCCTTGCAGGCAGCGGGCAGATCCAGCTGTGGCAGTTCCTGCTGGAGCTGCTCTCGGACCGGGCCAACCTGAACTGCATCGCCTGGGAAGGCACGAACGGGGAATTCAAGCTGATTGACCCTGACGAGGTGGCGCGGCGCTGGGGTGAGCGGAAGAGCAAACCCAACATGAATTATGACAAGCTGAGCCGGGCACTGCGCTACTACTACGACAAGAACATCATGACCAAGGTCCACGGCAAGCGCTACGCCTACAAGTTTGACTTCCATGGGCTGGCGCAAGTGTGCCAGCCGGCTGCCCCTGATCACACCCTCTACAAATTTCAGGGCAACCTGGCCCCACTGCCCTTCTCAGGCATCTCCAAACTCAACCTCATGACCTCGGGGGTGACACCAGCCGGCTTCTCCTACTGGCCTGGCTCCAGCCCGTCCCTCTACCCCGGGCACGGGCTCCAGCCCTCTGCCCCCTTCAGCGCCATGGCAGCCTCCCACCTCAACAACATGAACAATCATTACCACTAGAGGCTCAGCCACGCCAAGCAGAGCTCCTCGTCCCTGGCAGCATGGGGCTGGGGAGCTGGGAAGCTCAGCAGGGAGGGATGGGGGGGTGGGATCGTGACCTGCTCTCAGTTGCCCCCTTTTAGATTTGAAGAGTGGTGTGGGGGGCAAAGGGTGCTTGCAGGGTAGCTGGGTTGGGTCCCTGATGTGGGTGGCTGGAGAGAGAAGCCATCTAAAATTAGGGTGAGGATGGATCTGTGATCCTGGGAACAGACATGAATAGCTAAATCAGGGTGTGAATGGAAGAAAAAAAAAATGGGCTCTCCTCCTTGCAGGGACTGTGCCCCCCTTTTCCTTTGCAACATGCTGCCCACCCCATGAACGTCCTTAGCTCTGCCCCCAGCCTGTGCCTGCCCTCCCCTCTCCCTGCAGAGAGGAGGCAGGAGCTGAGGCCTCAGGGCAGCTGTGTCCATGGGTGAGGGTCCCCCTGGTAGGGGCAGGGAAATGGGACTCTCCTTGCTGTTCCTTGGTCCCCCACCTTTGCCTCCAAAGCTTTCCTTTCCTCCATTCCTCCTACACCTCCTGATGCTGGTGGCTTCCTCCAGACCTCAGGAGAAGCCTTGGTCTGGAGAGGAGAAGCTCTTCATGGGTTGACTCCTGCCCTGGGCAGGGCTCTGGGGCTGGAGGTACCAGGGGCAGATGTGAGGGCACTGCCAACCCTCAAGGCAAGGACAGAACCCAGAGGCAGCAGAGCGTGGCCCCCACAGCTCTGCCCTCTTCCCAGTGCCCAAGGACCACACCACACCACAGAAGGGGATGGTCCCCAACATCCTGCACATGAGCCCGTGTCCTGCTGGTTACTTCCAAGTTTAATTCCCCAGTTTTACTGTGGCTTTAGCCCCTTGCATACAGGGCTTGGTGGGACACCCTCCATGGGTGGGAACATCCCCAGGGACAAGGCTGACTGGGAGGTTGAGCAGGAGGAGGGATGACAGCAGGGCTGGGAGTCCCAGGCACTGAGGGGCAGCCCTGGGTCTCTCTGCCTAGGTCCAAGGAGGTATCCCCATCCTCCAGAGCAGGACTTTGGCCCAGTGGATGAAGAAGAACTGGGCATGCTGGGCTCTGCACTGGCTGGGGGGAGGGATTGGTCTTCAATAAAACAGAGAGGTGCTGTGACCTGTGTCCTCTTGTGTCTGCAGGGCGCTGGTGAGAGAGGAAACCACCCAGCAAATCCCCTCCCATACAACCCAGAGCACCTGTAGGGCTGGGGTGGGGAGGATGCAGCCACTCTGCTGCATTACCTTTCCTCCATCACCTCTGGCTCTTACAGCCCCCAAGAGATAAGGCAGAGGTGGAAACCACTGGGCTTCTTGAGACACTCCTTCAGCGAAGCTACTTACCCTATTTCCAGGCTGGCAAGGGGGTGTGGCAACTGGAGGCAAAGAGGAGATGCAGTTGGCCTGGCAGGCTGTCTGTAACCCTGCCATCAACAAGGGAAATTTGGGATGCCAAGAGCCAAATCCCTCATGACTCACAGAGCCCTGTGCAACCAGCTTGGGGCAATGCACTGGGCCCAGCATGGCTGGATCATGCAGCAGGTGTCCTTGCTGGGCTGCGCTGTGCCGGGAGCAGAGAGGTCTTGAGCCATGGAACCAGGCTCATGTGTGACATCGATGCAGTAAGTGGGGGAACACTGCTTGCCCAGCTTCAGGAACATGCCCATATATCCACCGCTGCCCATGGATCCACTGCTGCTTGTGGTGGCTGGCATGGGCTCAGGAGCTGCCCTCTGCCTGCTCCCCAACCTGGGGCTGTGTGCCCCATCCCACACTCATCAGAGGTCCAGGATGACAGGGCTGGGAGCCAGGCTTAGGTCAGGGATCAGTTGTGATCCCTGCTGTGGGGGTGCACAGATTACCAGCTGTGTAGGGGGCTGCTGTGCAATTACCCAGCACATCAGATCGCAGCCCCTCTCCCTGTGCCCCCAAGATCAGAGCAGCCTCCAGATCTGGGGACTCTGTGCTGCCCTCTCTGCCTCCTTCCAAGGTCTGGTCACTGTCATGGCTTTGGTGGCATCTGCTTGGATGTGTCCTCATTGCCCTAATCAGCTTAAGGGAGGGGGATCTGATGTCAGTGTCTCCTCTCAGAAGGGCTCAAGCTGTGCAGTGCGAGGCCTGATGCTGCTGGTGGGGAACCCATGTATGGGAAAGGAGCTGAAAAGACTGGGGGGTGTGGGGGGGGAATGTCCCTCCCTCCAGGATCCCTGAGCATTGCACAGCCTGGTCTCCAAGGATGGTAGGAGGTGAAGTAAGGGGGAAAGGAGTAGTTACCCCCATGAAACCAGCACTCAGGCTGAAGACACACACCCCGGCTCAAGCTTAGCCTTGCAAGGGCAAAATGGGGGGGCTGGCCACAGCTGGCTCTCTCAGAGCCAGGGCAGAGGGCCATGCCCCCACCGCAGGAGCCTGCTTTGGGTCTTAGGTAACTGCATGACGCAGGGCAGGACACGGATTAAGGGATATGGGTCACTAGTAGCTTCCCCCTGCCTTTGAGTCCCGCTCCTACCCCTCTGGTGCCTCTGACAGTGCCTGCACCAGGGAAGCCCAGGTGACCCCAGTTCCCTCCTCATTCACAGCCCTGCAATCCGGGTCTCTGCTGTATTGGAGGGCAGACATGCTGGGGAAATGGGGGAGTTACCTTTTGGAAGAGGGAGGACCACCACACACTCCCAGTGCAACAGGCTGCAGCTGAGGGCTTGCTTTGCTCTGCTTTGAGCTCACCTGGCACAGTCCCCCTGCTCTGTCCCCAGAGTGCCACCCCAAAAGCTGTGAACCAGCCCTGCACTCTCCAGGGACAGCAGCCAGGAGGGAAGGTGGGGAACAGCCATGCAGGACTGACTGCACCATCAATGTTCTCACCTGCCTGAGGATGCAGTGTCACCATGGCAACTTGGGATGCTCCCATCCCCAGGCCCCACTGGGGGCAACTCCCCTACCCCCGTTGTGTTTACCGGATGAGGGGGACAGAGCATCACCTCCCACAAAATCCAGCCTCCTGCCTCCCCAACACCCCGTCTGGCCCAGCCCATCAGCAGTGCTGCTTTTTTCAGTCGCCAAAACCACCAGCTCAGAGCAGACTGCAGCAAAATCCTACCAATGGGCAAGCAGGGGCAAGATCGGCACAGCTCCCGGTGAAGCATCGTCCCTGGCCCCGACCAGGGGTGCCCAGCTCAGGGGGATGATGGGGGAGCACTGTCCTGGGCATTGGGGTGCATCAGCTGGGTGGGCAGCCTGTCCTAGGTGGCTGGCAGCAGGGTTCATGGACCCAGTGTACCTGTGGGCTCCAGACCTAGCTGTGGGGAGACCTCGGGTGCCCTGCCCAGGGTGAGATGGGGGGAACACAGTCCCAAAGGGCCTCAGCCTGTATGAAGGAGCGAGGGAGCAGAGCACGTGGCCTGGCAGCTTCTGCTGCCGTGTGATTAAAGGCAGAAGGTTTCTTCCCTACTTAAAGAAAAAATGAAATAAATCTTTGGCTTTGTTTAGCTGGCAAGAAGGCAGGATTGAGCCCTGCCTTGGCCTCAGCTTCTTACCAGGATGGCAGGGGGACCCCTCCAGCTTCCCTCAAGGCCTTCCATCCCCACAGGAAGGGATCAGAGGGGGGGGCTGGAGCAGCCCCTCTCCTATTTTAGCACATACAAGTCACCACTTGCTTAATTTCTTACACTGGGAATAGCCTTTGCAGCACAGCCAGGTCACATCTGCTCCAGGGGACATGGGGCTGCCTCCCTGCCCAACCCCGGCCCCCCTCCAGCTCTCCCAATTCCCACCTATTTCCTTCTGTCTGTATCCCGGCTGTGCTGGCTCCTCGATTCACCACTCCCCCACTCTGCTCCAAGCTGCTGACTCACATCCTCTCTCCAGACGCCACCTTCCCTTGGCCTGGCTCCCTGCAAAGCATTTTGTGACTTAGTGTGGCTCAGCTGGAACCCGCAGGTGCAGCCAGTCGGGCTCCAAAACCCCTTGTGAAGCCCCTCCAAGGAACCAACTGTGATGCTTCCAAAATGTGCTGCTTTCTCCCTTGCCAACGTGCTCAGGGCTGGAGCCGTACTGCTGCCTTCCCCCACGTACTGGATGCACCTGGGGGGAATTTTGTGCACTTTGGGTTTCTTCCCTGCTCACTGTCCCCCTGCCCCAGACACAGGGTTGCTCTGGATGGAGCCCCAAACCTTGCTCCTGCTGCCACCTGCTCTCCAGTGCCCAAGCAAGAGCTGGTGGGGAGAGTGTCCTGATGCCGCTCCTGCCCAGCTGTACACTGAGACCTTGGGCCGGACTCTGCTAAGGGAGGACTGGATTAATGCACTAATGCCGGATTATGCTCTAATGCAGGAATTCTGATGAGGGAGCAGCTCCCAGCCGAGCCTGGGAGGCATTTACTCCTGGGGAAGCTCCCCACAACTGCCCCAAGCCACAGCTATCCCCCAAGGATCTCTGTCCTCAGGGGTGACACAGGACCATGAGGTAGGCAGCGGACACAGCACAGGGTAACCTCCATGCTCAGCTCTCAGTGGGCTGGAGGTAATGCCCCAGCCTAGGCATCCCTGGCCCTCCATTCTGCTGGGCTTCACAAAAGGATTAACCATGACAGAAGTGCTCCAAGGCATTCTGGTTCCCCTTCTCCACCTGCCCCAGCTTCTTGGCACAGAGCTGTCCCCACTCTGTGCTCCTCAGTCCCACACCCGTCAGCCACGCAATGCCACAGGCCATGTTTTAGCTACAACACGGACCAAACTGTCTGCTGTCCCACCTCCCTCATTCTTACTCCTGCCCCTGGGCTATCCTGGGCACAGGTAGAGCTCAAAGACAGGTTCCCACCCCATCCTGGATGTGTCCCCCATCAGCTGAGACCCTGTGGTAGCTGTTCTCCCTGGGTATAAATATTCCATCAAACAATTTATGACCCCTCACTCTGCCATTTGCTGCCATGTCACTGGGTCACTTCATTCATGTCTTCCCCCTTAGACATCCCACCAGCAGCTGTGACTAAGTGTCATGAAGCAGGGACAGGACCAGAAACCTGCACCCACAAGTCATCCCCAATTCAGCAGAGCAGCAACAGCCTGAAGCTGTGATGGAGCCAGTGTCCGAGTAGCTCCCACAGAAGCAGAAGAGAGACCTCCCACTTCCATCTGCCTTGGGAAACATGTCATCCATCACCCTCACAGCCTAACGGAGGAGAAGGGCTTGCGCAGAGTGCTCAGCTGAGGCAGGTCCTTTACCAGCCACGTGGGCACCAGGTCTACATCATCCAGAGCAGTTTCCTCCCCACGGAGCAGCCCCGAGTCACTCTGGGGAATGCTGCCAACTCTTAATAGCAAAAGCACAACTTCCCCGCCGTTTTTCCAGCAGGAGGAGGCACGGCTTGCCAGGCTGGCTGCTCCAGCCACCCATTGCTCCTCCGAGCCCCAGTGCCATGGCCAGCACATCCAGTGCATGGAGTCTGCCCTGCAGACAGAGCAGCAGGGCAGGGGGAGTCCTACTGAGATGTTGCTTCATGAGCTCCAGGCAGAAACATCCCCTTCCATGGGCAAGTACACATCCTGGGGACCCATTGCTGCCCAGGGTGCCTCCAGCAGCCCCACACATCCTTGGGGAGAAAAAGCAGGATTCTGTGGCCTGAGAAGTGACCTCCCTGGGGCAGAAGGGGCTGAACCAACTGCAGGCTGCACCATGCAGCTTGTGCCCACCTCCCCTGCCACTACATGGGGTGGAGCAGATGGGGCATCCACTGTAAGGCACAGAGAGGAGATATGTTGCTGTCAGGGGAATTTCAAAATAGGAAAGAGCTGGGATCCTTCACCAAGGGCCTGTGGTGATGGATCCCTACCTCTGAGCCCCAACCCTGATGTGAATCCCCCATCTCTGTAACCCCAGACACTGCTGGGCCCTGTGGCTGGCAGCAAGGGGGGCTTCCCAGCTCCTCACTGTTCCTCAGGGAGCACTCGGTGGCTGTAGGGATCACAAGTTTGGTGACAAGCTCTATCCATCCCCCTACTGCTGCCCCACAGCTGGCTCCTGAGCCCAGACCCCCACGACATCGTGCAGCAGCACAGAGGTCTAACAGGTCTAAAAGCATACCGCTTTTGGGAGGGGAAAACACTGAGCTCCCAAGCCTGTCTGAGGATTCCCACCTTCAGTACTCCCCTCCGCTTGTGTCCCCCTGCCACCTCCTCTTTGCCTGGGGGAGAGCAGGAGGCTCCCAAGCAAGGTAAGCTTAGTGCTCCCCCTTCCCCCCAGCAGCTGTACAAGGTCCTCTGGGGCAGGGAAAACCAGACATCTCTCCCCCTAACAAGGCTCTAGCTGAGCTGATGGTGCATATTTAAATGCATGGGAGCATCTAAGCTTGTCTCTCATTCCTTGACATTTCCAGAGACTCCAAGCTGTCTTCAATTACCAGTCTGCAATTAGCTCTTCCTAAAGCCCCCAATGAGGCCTAGCACTCTTAATCAATGAAACACAAGGGAGGAGGGGAAGGACATGGCCTCACTGCAGCTGGAAGCATTTTAAAAGGCTGGGAGGACCCTGAGAGTGTCTCTGAAAGAGCTGTAGGGTGGAAAACCTCAAATAGTGCCGGCAGGTTGTTCAGCTCTGGGGATAGGGAGTCACTGGACAAATACCCCCAGCTCAGGCTGAAAAAAACCAGCACCAATGACTTGGGTGTTACCCTGCAATGCTGCAGACTCTTCCTGCTGGATTGTGACATGCTGCTTCACCTCACCGTACCTCAGTTTCCCTCCCTGCAAAATACTGATAGGGGAGAGTCAGGGCTTCCCCAGCAGCCCCATAGGAGCTCTGAGGGTTCAGTTCCACCCCTGTTTAAGCCAGAGTAAGTCAGAGCTACTACCTTCCCCAGCACAAGATATGAATATGGCTAAATGTGGGGTGGGTTGTGAGTATGTTTTTGCTGAGACAGCTCACCACAAGGTCACATGAATGTCAATCTAAAAGCAGGAGCAAGAGCACCCATTAGGGACAGGGAGGAAGGGAGCAGCACAGGTCTCAGTGGGTTTATGCAGCCATGGAAAAGCATTGCACAGCACCCTGCCAGGTCAGCCCCCGTCACAGGGACATCTGTGCTGTCTTCCTGGCAGCACAGCTTTGCCTGAATGAGCCAGATTGAGCCTAATTAGCAGCTCTGCTGATGCACACAAAGGTAAAGAGAATCCAGCTTACCCTCCATGACCTGCAGAGCCAGCACAGCTCTTCCTGGCTGAGGGGAGCCCGAGTGCCAGGCTCAGAGGGGCTGGGAAGCACTGGACACAGACCCCAACGAAAGCATATGCTGTGAATCCTGCTAAAGAAGCCCTGGCAAATTCTGTAGCCTGAAGCATAGCAATCAGCAATGAAAAAGGCAGAGCCGTCCCCTTCTCCACCCCTCTCCCTGGGGGTCTGTAAAAGCACAGGGCTGGTAACTGGGCTAGCAACCCAGCTCCCTCAGCTTGCTGCTGCCAAGGAAGGGAGACCAGCCCTGCAGAGCAGAGATAGGGATGAAGGAGGTGAGGGGGGGTAACTTTATGGGAAAAAAAAAATAAAAATGGAGGTGACATGGGCTGTGGGATCCTGATTAAATTCAGTGTGGCAGACAGGCATCAGGCATTTCCATGTGGAATAGAGGAGGCCAGGAGAGAGCTCACAGGGAGCCATGGTGCACTTGGATGGACCAGGACTGGCCTTGGGCACAACAAATCGGGGTGAAATTCTGACCCCCAACTAACACCGGGGAGTAAAACACCCCTCTGAGAACCAGACCTCCCCCCCCATCCCTCCTGGGGAGGAGAGGGGGCATGACTGGGAGTTTGGGGTGCCCTCCCCAATCCCCCTTGCACTCCACAGCCCAACAAGTCCAGGGAATCACCACCAGGCCCATCCAGGCCGCCTCTTTATTCTCCAGTGAAGCAAAGCAAGAGGAGAGGGGACACCACCCCCCCACGCCCGTAACAACCCCCCCGCTCTGGGCTCCCTAGGCCTCCTCTGGCAGACCCCTTTTCCCGCAGCAAGCCAAGGTGAGGGCATCAACCCACCGGCGCCCTGTTTCGGAGGGCGTACCGGCGGGAGGGGGGTG